TTCAGCGTGATCGTAGGTGAAAACCCTGACCTTCCAGTGTTTGCTTGAGGATGGTTGTAGGTAACTGCGTGGCTGCTGTTTCCTGTTATTTTATTCCCTCGCACTCTCGGAGCCATAGTTTCCAAGCGCTTCGAAACACAGAAAGTCAAAAGTGTTTGCAGCTTGCGGATTTGATTTGTGCAGTGGTAGAGCTACTAGCTACCACTGCACATCACCGCACTGTAGGTGCGCAAAGGACACCTGACGACCTCAAATCAACATGGATCAACATCAACCAGTCTTTCAGATGTTGTAAGCCAGTCAAGAGGCGCCACTGTTCAAAGGTCGATCTGCTTTTTCGTCTTGGCAGCCGTTTTGAAAAACTGTGAAACGAACTTGACTGGCGACCGTGCCTATGAATGCCACAGACAGCTTCAATGAAATGGCACGAACATGCGCCGCGCTCGATATTTCTTGTGAGTTCGGTGGTACCAGTAGCTTGACTGCAAAGGAAATCTTATGACTCATGACGTCGCAATTGTGTACCCAACACGGGTTAAAATTAGAGCATGCAAACAGCAGTGGTTGTGAGGTCGTTTTCGCAATGACAGCCTGCTTCCCGTGGCGTTTGAGCCATGCTACACCAGCGGAACCTAAAGACTTTGAGCCTTGGAAGGAGTGACCAGTTGTGTTTGCAATCTGGCAGACTCTGGCAGTTGTATGTTATGAGGGAGACATTTGCCAGTGTTCTGATGGCTCGCAACGCCTCAGCTCTCGGCAAGGTTTTTGATGCAGTGAAACTGACAGGTGTCCAATTTCAGTGAGCAGCCTAGTACAGCCTCCTTACTATAGTACAGCCTAGTACATTTAGACATACTTGTATCATCTTGTATCTAGACTCTAGACCTTGGTTCCTGCAAATGACCGGTGAATGCTGGTTGCCAGAACCACTTTAGGCTTCAGGCTAAGCAGAGTGCACTTACTAGCACGGTAGACAATATAGAGGACATCAGACGCCTGAACCATCTCAGTCGTCTCAGTGATTCAGAACGAACAAATAGTAAAGCTTATATACTTGATTGATCTTGATTGTATAGAGTCTTAGAGTCTTGGGCTATGCGATTGAGACGATGCTGCAACCCTGCAGCTGTCCTCTGACAGGGACAAGAAGGTGAGAGCGGACAAGCTGTTCGAGGCACTCCCAGCTGTGTGATGATAGCGTGTTGAGACCACCACTCCGATACTCTCCGACAGTTCAAAACACTCTGGCATCGGGCCACCAAACTCACATCCGCCAAGTCATCCTCCAATATCCTCGCATATCCTGTCACATTCTTCATGATTCTAAGGGTTGTAAGGTCCCTGTTGAAAGCCAGTGGCCGCAAACTTCCTTGACAGGTTTTCCGCACAGATGACAAAGATCTGAAAAGCACCAAAGGCCAGGAGGGGCTGTAAACTGCCGGAATGCTTTTTCAACTGGTGAGAAGCCTTCACGTCCCATGCATCAGGAGTGCAAGCAGCTGCTAGCAAGAGAGAGAGAGAGAGTGATGTTAGAGATTTTGGAATACCTTGAAATACTGTGGGCATTGGCAATGCTTTCGGAATCTGGAACTTATTTGATTAATCACTTTGGAATACTTTGCACTGTTTAGTTTATATTATATCTTTTTACGATTTGTCGCTTGCTCCAGGTGTTCGAGCATCTTCTGCATCCAACTCACAGGTCGGGAACTTTGCTCCCAACATTTGCCAACACACTTGTGCAGCACCATTATTGATATTATTTCATATTATATGTTTATTATACGCAAAGGTGTTGATTATCGATTATATAATGGTGGCGATTGGTGAGACCCAAGTACATCGTGCATCACGAAGTCAAAAGCAAGAATTCCACAAGCCTGAGTTTTGTCATGTTTGTCAGGGAAAACTGAAAGAGGCTGAAAGCAGCAGCTGGACTCTGGCTGATCAAAGTGGTTCTGATGAGGCGACGCCGAGCAAAGCGGTCGAAAACCGGAGTTGGTTCTAACATTGGGGAGTGCATCAATTTTCGGGAATGCATCCAATGGGATTTGGATGTAGAATCAGTTTATATCAGTGTGTTTCAGTGTAAAGCTAATGGCTAGGAAGAGACACAGTCAAGAAAAACATGAGCATGACGCAGCAGAAAATTGCTGAACAGCACGGCTGCTTCTCTAGGTGGCTGCACAAACAATAAAAGGACCGGATAACCCCACATGTCAAGCCTTTATGTATGTAAGATTTTAATGTGAACTTCGGGGAGGTGAGAAGTGAGGTGTGAGAAGTGGACTTGTGATGTCAGGTGTGAGAAGTGGAGCTGTGATGAGTTCTGATGTGGTAAGTGAATATAAGTGAGGTGTGAGAAGGGGTGTGAGAAGTGGAGCTGTGATGGGATAAGTTGTGATAAGTTGTGATAAGGTGTGATGAGAAGTTGTGATGTGATAAGGGAGCTGTGAGAAGTGAGGTGTGACAAGTGGAACTGTGATGAGTTGGGATGTGATAAGTTGTGATGAGTTGTGATGAGAAGTGGACCTGTCAGAAGTGGAGCTGTGAGGATTTGTGATGAGCAGTGGAGCTCTGTGTATTGCGCCTGCCACGCCAGGCTCTGTGTCTGTGTACGGCTGGCTGCCAGGCAAAAGGCAGCCGCGGGCCAGCGGCGGCCACCGCGCCGCAGCTCCGCCAGGAAGCTCTGTGTACTGGGCCTGCCACGCAAAAGGGAAGTGCGGAGGCTCTGTGTACTGCGCCTGCCAGGCAAAAGGCGGCCGCGGGCACTGCCGCGGGCCAGCGGCGGCCACCGCGTTGCAGCTCCGCCAGGAAGCTCTGTGTACTGCGCCTGCCACGCAAAAGGGAAGTGCGGAGGCTCTGTGTACTGCGCCTGCCAGGCAAAAGGCAGCCGCGGGCACTGCCGCGGGCCAGCGGCGGCCACCGCGTTGCAGCTCCGCCAGGAAGCTCTGTGTACTGCGCCTGCCACGCAAAAGGGAAGTGCGGAGGCTCTGTGTACTGCGCCTGCCAGGCGAAAGGCAGCCGCGGGCACTGCCGCGGGCCAGCGGCGGCCACCGCGTTGCAGCTCCGCCAGGAAGCTCTGTGTACTGCGCCTGCCACGCAAAAGGGAAGTGCGGAGGCTCTGTGCAAAAGGTGAGTGAGCGAGCAGTGAGTGAGAGTGAGAGGCGGCGCGGCGGCGGACGGAGGTGAGCGGCGGGATCCAAGCGAAAAACAAGAACTCCACACAGTGATGTGGGGAACTACATATTATACTGGATCCAAACAAACAAGAAACATTGAAGTGGCTTGGATTGTCTCAACCATTTACCAGGGTGAGTAGCAGCAAGCAGCGTTTGCAGAGCCATCCGGAGCCTGTGCTTCCTTCACACATAATCAGGACCTTGGGTTCACTGAAGACACACTTGCAGACCCAGCCGCTGTGGCCTCAGTGATATCAGCCTGGTTCCTGAGTTGATGGACCAAGAATGTTCCACCATCGTCCTTTAGCTTGGCTGTCAGAACCACTTCAGAACCACTGCAGGTGGTTCAAGAAATCCAGAATGCAAAGCAGCCCATGATGCCTGCGTTTGGCACCTGGATTGTCCATCATCACATATCACAAACATAACAGAGAAAAGAGCTGCAACTGCCATTGAGATATATGATCATGGGCCATCATGGGTATTAAATCTCAGATCCTTTGGATCCAAGGCTGACCAAAGAGGAGGCAGAAGAGGCTGCAGAGACCTGGCGAGTGGAGGGCAGCTCCAGGGCCGGTTTCAAGGTGCCCTTCGAAGCTCCGCTCCACCTCGACATGATGGAAACTCCATGACATATTGCAGAATATTGGATTGCAATGCCATGAAATACAGATACTGCAATTTACGGGTATGTATGTATGTAATGACAATGTAATGTAATGTAATGTAAGGTAATGTAATGCAATGTAATGTAATGTAATCCCCCGCTAATGTACCTTTATAGAATGAGTTTGTGGTCGTTTATGGAATGCAGTTTTGGGTATCATTCTATAAACCCAGATTCGGGGGGAATCGATCGGACCGGCTGGAACAAGCAAGTACATGAACCCTCCCTACTCATTCTATAAAACCAAGGTTTTGCAACCCTTTAACTCATTCCATAAAAGCCAAAATGCTCCAAAAAATGGATGTTAAATCGAAGTTAACCATCCTGGTAGATGCATTCCATAAATCCCATGGAGTGTCATGTTCGATTCGAGTAACAGACTTGTTTCGAAATGTTTGGGCCAAACATGCACTTGAAATAGCATTCTATAAACCGACATGTCCTGCTGGCTTTCCTCCTGTTTTTTTTACTTGTAACTAGCCAATTCATTCTATAAAGTTATTTTTTTGGGGTTTTTAACCATCGAAATCTCAGATCCTTAAACTTGCCGTACCATTCCATAAATATGCCTCAGATTCATTCTATAAAAAAAAGCACCCTCAGAATCATTTTATAAACCAAAATGTTTATAGAATGCAGTCAGCCACAGTCTAGGGCACATTCACGGAGGATGTAATGTAATGTAATGTATGTATGTATGTATATGTATGTATGTATGTATGTATTGTATTGTATTGTATTGTATTGTAATGTAATGTAATGTAATGTATGTATGTACGTACGTACGTACATACGTATGTATGTATGTATGTATGTATGTAATGTATGTAATGTATGTAATGTATGTAATGTAATGCAATGGAATGCAATGGAATGTAATGTAATGGAATGTAATGTAATGTAATGTATGTATTTGTATGTATGTATGTATGTATGTATGTAATGTAATTTATGTATGTAATGTAATGTACTGTAATGTAATGTAATGTAATGCAATGGAATGCAATGGAATGGAAGGTAATGTAATGGAATGTAATGTAATGTAATGTATGTATTTGTATGTATGTATGTATTTGTTTGTATGTATGTATGTATGTATGTAATGTACTGTACTGTACCGTAATGTAATGTAATGTAATGTAATGTAACGCAATGGAATGTAATGTAATGCATGCATTTGTATGTATGTATGCACGTGTATGTATGTATGTATGTATGTATTTGTTTGTATGTATGTATGTATGTATTTGTATGTATGTATGTATTTGTATGTATGTATGTATTTGTATGTATGTATGTATGTATGTATGTATGTATTTGTATGTATGTATGTATGTATGTATTTGTATGTATGTATTTGTATGTATGTATTTGTATGTTTGTGTTTGTATGTATGTAATTAATGTATGTATGTATGTATGTATGCATGTATGTATGTATGTAATTAATGTATGTATGTATTTGTATGTATGTATGTGTATGTATGTATTTGTAGTGTAGCACTGCAGTGTTGTAACATGTGCAGCAGAAAGGAATGCTGCAGGGTGTTCAGGCTCAATCCAGCCTGAAAAATCACAGGTGAAAGGGTAGACCAGCCATGATTTCTGGCCTGGCGCTGTGGTTCCTGGAACTGTGCATGGACGCACAGTATGCTCGCAACAGTCTCTGGCCCGAGAATGCGAGTTCTCCAGCGGTCATGCTGACCTTAACCAGCTTGTGCGCCGCCTTGGACCAGTTGCTGGCGTTCCCATACTGCCCTCTACCTGAGATGATACCCAGACTTGATGCCTTTGTGATGGGCTTGGCACCCATGGCCTGCGAGACCCTAGCGGCAATGGCTGAGGGCGACGCGACCTTTGACCCGGTGAACATGCCGAGCCAGCGAGACATACAACAAGAGATCGAAGAGATCAGAGCAGGCCTAGCCAGCTGCGTTCAAGGCATGATCTCCTGGCGACTGAACTTACCCCCACACGATGGAGTGGGGTTTGATCGCCGGGTCTACTCAGTGATCCTATGCAGTGACGAGCTTCTCTACCACGACACGTTCCCAATGATTGGGGTGATTCGGCACGGCCTTGCTGCCATGTCCACAGCCATACCAGCCAGTTTGGCACAACGTGCACAGCTCACTGGATCCGCAGCACTGCAGGGAGTACCACGCCCAGACCAAGACAACTCGTCCCAATAAGGGCCACAGTCGGGCTCGACAATGACATCCTCCCTTCAACCATGTGGAGTCGGCGACACTCGGGCTTCCCACTTTGCACCTTTAGAGACGAGGGTAGTTTGTCACGTGGACATTTTTGGCGAATAAACAGTGTTTTTGCCGTGTCAGTCGTGTGTTGACACCCCAAAACCTCTTTTGTGATTCTCCTCTCCTGGGCTCATCGCCCTTACGGCATGAATGTCATGTACATGCAGTGGCCGCTGTCTCGTGGCACCAAGTGTGATTAGGTACACCAACACTTTCATGTTTCAGCATCCATGTCATTTGCATTCACATGTCATGACTCAATTTCATCTCCCCAGCTGGCGGCTCAGATGAATTCACTGGAGGAACTGTACCACGCCTTAAGGCAGGCTGGTTCAGAGCCCTTAGCACCCGTTCTGGTGTCCCATGGCGTTTTGAGATTTGGTGACCTTGTGGCTGCTGGCGTTCCTCCATGGCGATTGGAGGCAACACTGGCAGCGTCTTCCCAGCGGGCGGAAGTCGCTACCGAAGAGGCCCCACAGGTTGGCCGTGTTGACCTACCGACCGTGGTGCCTCAGCGCCGTGCCAACCTTCAAGCTGCGTTGATGGCCGCAGAGCCCAACAACAGGGTTGCCTCTTTGAAGAAACTCGAAGATGACATCCTTGCCAAATCGACCAACCCAGCCAATGACGCAAGGCTGAAGACCTACCTGGCAATTTGCCGGGCATGGGAAGTGGTGTCCTTCCCGCTGGACACCAACAACATCAGATGCTTTGCCGCTTCACTCAAGGCAGGTGGCTACAACAGCTCAGCCATTTACTTCTCAACATTGTGCGGATATCAACAGCGCACTTTGCGCACACCGATTTCCCCATTGGTTCGGCAGACTATCAAAGATTGCATTAGATCCATCCAGCGAGGCGCTGGTGTGACGAAACTCAAAGATGCTTTCAACGGAATGCTGGTAGGCTCGATACCCACCTCAGAGACAGTGGAACCCTTCAGCTTGACCAACGCTGCCCACAACCGCGACATGGTGGTCCTGGGACTCTGGTTCATGCTGAGGGAAGCCGAGATGGCCAACGCCAAAGCACTGGACCTACAGCTGACGGGCAGGGAGGTCACGATCACCATCCCACTACACAAGACAGATCAACGAGGCCAGATGACACAACGCTGTTTGTCATGCACTTGTGGCGTCCGAGTCCACGGCATGTGCGTGTGGCACGCTGCGGAGAGACACATCCTCCGTGTGGATTCACACCCCCGCAGGGGGACGGGGGCCACCTTCCCATTGTTTCCAACTGAAGAGGGCTTGACAGCTTCCAAGCAGCGGTTGATCGATGCGTTTCGATGCGTCATTCGACAAACAGGCACTGAGCTCGAACGGCCGGGCCCCAATGGAACACCCATGCAGAGATTCCATGGACACTGTTTGCGGGTGTCAGGAGCGCAGATGCTGACAGCGGCAGGTGTTGAGTTGAGCCTGGTGCAGCTCCTTGGAAGGTGGACCAGCTCAGCCATACAGCGCTACACGCAGGATAGCGCCCTGGTGCGAGTCCCACAGATCCCACAGCAGATTCTCACACCTGACCAACAACCAGGCACAATTCAACTGACTATGGCGGCATCGGCTTCACAACCCGAGCCAGTAGTCGTCGAAGGCCCAGTGACGACGGCAGCCAGGCCCAAAGCAACAGCCTCAAACGAGAGGGGATTGCGAGCCGAGCTGGAAAAACTACGTGAGGCCATCGCCCGTCCTGGCGAAACTTTTGTTTTCCGGCGGGCCCGGATCTTGCACAGGGCCTCCACAGTGGAGGACCACAACATCCCGTCATCCTGGCGCACGACATGCGGCTGGACATACGGACTCAGCACATTTCTCCGCACATCGTCCGTGCAAGATGGCACCAGACGGTGTAAGAAGTGTTTTGATTTGAATTCTTCTTCAGACAGCTCCTCTGACAGTGAATCATCCGGCATCACAGTCCTCGAGGAGTCTTCGGCAAGCAGCGCCGAATGACAAATTCTGTTACTGACAAGTGCAGGTCAGCAAAAAAGAACCGGTGCAGCAGAGCCACCGCAGTTTACAGTCCATATGACTTCTGTGCCGTTTAGCTCATTTCAGAAATTCTGTCAAGTTGTGATGTTACCACTTTCCATTGCCGCGTTGTGCATTCCCTCACACTTGATGTTTGTTTGGTTTTTGTTGTGACATGTTAGTTTTTCTTTTGCCATTTGTGAATGCTGCCACAATTGACGTTCACGTGTCCACACGTGCCGAATTTGAAACCATGATTTGCCAGGGCTTGCATCAGATTTGATGAACTTGCACCTTTGGCTATAGCAACTGGGTGACACCCAATAGACCCCACGATGCGCAGCTTGACCATGCCTTCACTGCAGGACCTGGCGAATGACGCAGCAGCTGGTCCCACACTACAGGAGTACCTGGAAAGCAGGTCCATCAAGACCTCCGCGACGTTAGCTTTGCTGGCATCAGATGAGGAGTCCCTGGACCGCACCCTGGTACAACCGCTATTCCAGGGATGGGCCAAAGCTGATGGGACGACGCTGACAGTCCCCGAGAACGAGAAGCCCATAGCAAAGGCAATGCTGCTTCATATGTGGCAGTTAGCCCGCCAGGCATGGAACAAAACATTGGCGGCCACAACACCTCAGGCACCTATGAACCCGCCTACCACTCCTGCCACGTCAGCTTCAACTCCGACCTCCAATGACAAGGTGCCCAAGACCCTGGCCCCCGGGAGGTGGACACAGCTCATCAATGCCTATCAATCACAACAGATAGGCGGCATGGATCGCATCTTCCCTGTCCAAGAATTACTAGGAACAGAACCAGTATTGGCAAGGATCCTGCACGAGCACGAAGTGTCCAAGCTGTACAGCCCAGTCTTGCTGGGTGAACTGATGTCGATGCGGACCTTCTTGCCTACAGGCGAGCCAAACCCGCTGTCAAAGAAGGACAGATCTACTCAGAAACTGCAGCTCACTGGTGACACAGGCACCCTTGTCGCCTCAACCGAGGAGCCCTGGCAACCACGGAGCGTCCTGGCGATTTTGGACGGACTGGATAGCATCCGCTGGGCATATGTGTTGTGCAACATCGGATCAGAACAAGCCATTCACCAGTTTTTCAACTGGCTGGTCAAGCTGACAAGAAGCAGGCCCCAGAAGACAGACCAAGTCAGCCAATTCTGGGTGACGATCTCATGGAAGCTGGCCATGGAAATGAGAGCCGGTAAGACGTTCGATGAGACAGTGGTCATCCTGATGAAAGACTACGACATCTTCTCAGAGTGCATGACGAGGGAGCCAAGCACCACGACAACCAAAAGACCACAGACCCCGACCAAGAACACAAATGAAGCAAAGGGGCAGGGCAAAACAAACACAAAATCTGGGAAGAACGCCAGATACCAGCCCTACCAGAGGCAACCACGCCAATGGAGCTTCCACTATGACAAGCAGCAGACATATGACAAGGCATCAGACCGGTCCTACTCCCAGCAGGCGGAGTCGAAGGCACCGTGGCACAAAGATAGCTGGTCCAACGACTGGACCAAGCCCTCCAAATAGGGACAGCTCGGGGACTGGGGCGAGGAGGCGCCCCTTTCACCCGGTGCGCAGCATCAACCTCCAACACCTCACACACCGGTTGGTGAGCTGCAATTCGAGAAGCTCCAGGAGAAGATCATCCTGATCAGCTGCTTTGACGGGATTGGCACCGCCGCCTTGGCGTTGAATGACCTCACAAGTGGCATCTCCCTCCATGTGTCTTGGGAAATTGACCCAGACTGCCTGGCGGTAATGGCTCTGCGCCATCCTGAGGCAATTCATCGCGGCGATTTTCTGCAAGACGACCCCAACATGGTCGCGCAATTGATCCGTGAACACGACCCACAAGGTCTGATGATTGTTTTGTTTGTGGCCGCACCTCCGTGCCCAGACTTCAGCAAAATCAGGGACGACGCCCCAGGGTCAGCCGGCCCTGAAGGCCAAAAGTTCACACAGTATTGTGCCTTCGTCAACAAGATTGAGGAGCAGATACCGCACAAGCGGGTGGGCCACTTGGTTGAGAATGTCCTCATGGCCAAAGGGGAGGCTGATCATTTCAGCAGCCGCCTCGACTGCCAGGCAGTGGCATGCGACTCAGCCGATCTTGGTCTGATCAACCGTCCCAGGCTCTGGTGGAGTCGTATCAATTGGTCCAAGATCAGGTCGAGCCCTTGGACAGGCCACAGACTCAAGTGGGGCAAAGCACAGAAGTTCCACAGAGTCTATGATGACGGACCCCGTCAGGATGCCTCTCAACTTGACCTGGGTGAGTTCAAGCTCCACCACACCGTCGAGAACCAATCAGCCAGGATACCATGCCTGACAACCCCCGCCCCAGACGAGGCTGGGAGGGCAGCACCGAGAAAGCTGCGAGGCAGGATACCACCGGAGCAAAGATCACGGTGGATGCAAGACAACAGATGCTTTGCCCCATGGCAATATGCAGACCATGCCATGGTCTACGGACCTGCTGGTGAACCAACAGTACCCAGTGCAGACATGAAAGAGCAGTTTCACCAATTACCAGCACAGTTCACCAAAGCAACAGGCGTGTCTGAGCGTTCTCGACACAGAATGTTGGCCAACGGGTGGCATTTTGGTACGGAGGGCTAATTATTTTAGGATTTTTTTTTGATCAGGTTTAGGAATTATTTTTGGATTCCTGCTTCTCTGCTTTTCCTGCTTTTCCTGCTTTTCCTGCTTTTCCTGCTTCTCTGCTTTTCTGCTTTTTTGCTTTTCTGCTTCTCCTGCTTCTCGCCTTTTCTGCTTTTTTGCTTTTTTGCTTTTCTGCTTCTCCGGCTTCTCTGCTTCTCTGCTTTTCTGCTTTTTTGCTTTTCTGTTTTTCCTGTTTCTTTGCTTCTCTGCTTTTCCTGCTTTTCCTGCTTCTCTGCTTTTCTGCTTTTCCTGCTTCTTTGCCTTTCTGCTGTTTTGCTTTTGTGCGTTTCCTGTTTCTTTGCTTCTCTGCTTTTTTGCTTCTCTGCTTTTTTTTGCTTTGCCTGCTTTAAATACTTGATTTTCATGTAAGATGCATTTTGCACAGTATTTACATCCCTGAGTATCACATGACCAACCTTCTCTTGAAAACTTGCAACGTAACATGTGAGAAGAGGTGCTTGCATTCTGCTTTGGGGGGAGGCGCTGCGCCCTCCCCCCAATCCCCCCCTCCCGCTTTTTTTAATTTAAACTTAAACCCAAGTTACATTAGTTGGTTTTTGCGAACTAACCTTCTCTGGAAAGCTGACAGGATTACATGTGATAGATAGATAGATAGATAGATAGATAGATAGATAGATAGATAGATAGATAGATAGATAGATAGATAGATAGACAGATAGATAGATAGATAGCTGGATAGATAGATAGCTTGGTAGATAGATAGCTAGATAGATAGATAGCCAGCTAGATAGATAGATAGCTAGAGAGATAGATAGCTAGATACCTGGATAGATAGATGGCTAGATAGATAGCTAGATAGATAGATAGCTAGATAGATAGCTAGCTAGATGGATAAATAGAGGTAGCTAGATAGATAGCTAGATAGATAGATAGATAGATAGCTAAATAGATAGGCAGATAGTTAGCCAGATAGATAGATAGCTAGATAGATAGCTCGTTAGCTAGATAGCTGGATAGACAGCTGGATGGCTAAATAGATAGATAGCTAGATAGATAGAAAGCTAGATAACTAGATAGCTAGATAGATAGTTAGCTAGATAGCTCGATAGCTAGATAGCTGGATAGACAGCTGGATGGCTAGATAGATAGATAGCTAGATAGATAGAAAGCTAGATAGCTAGATAGCTAGATAGATAGTTAGCTAGATAGCTAGATAGGTAGATAGATAGCTAGCAAGATAGCTAGCTAGATAGGTAGATATAGTAGGTAGATAGATAGATAGATAGATAGATAGATAGATAGATAGATAACTTGCTAGATAGATAGCTAGCTTGCTAGATAGATAGCTAGATAGCTAGCTAGCTGGATAGATAGCTAGCGCCCTCCCTCAATCCCCCCCACTCGCTTTTTATCTAATCCCAAGCTTCTGCATCTGTAAATATTTGGGTGAACATGCTCACATGTAGAACATCCCATGCAAAATGGAAGGTGAACATGCCAAAATGTGGCAAATACCATACAAAATGGAAGTTGAACATGCCCACATGTAGGAAATCCCATGCAAAATGGAGGGTGAACATGCCAAAATGTGGCAAATACCATACAAAATGGAAGGTGAACATGCCCACATGTAGTTATTCCCATGCAAAATGGAAGGTGAACATGCCCAAATGTGGCAAATACCATGCAAAATGACAAATTCAAGTTCCAAACCGTTGCAAACACTAGGCAAATGGTACCAGCCAAGAAATCCAAAAAAAAATCCCAAACCTGTTGAAAAAAAATTCCTAAAACTATTTCACACCCTTTTGGTACCACCAGATTCATGTTCATGTTGGTACTACAGGCAGTGTTGTTGCTTCCAACGGCATCACCAACTCCAATGCCCCGGACATCTCCACTGCAACTGATGATCCAAACCTTACACAGGTTTGAACCTAGCATTGGCCCGGGCACATGGACACCACATCCTTCATGCATACCACCGGCCACAAGCATGTGGCACCATTGGGAGTTGGCACAACGAGCCCAACACCATCTCCAACAAGAACCTCACTTGGAACCAGGCCTGCGCCAGTGTCTGGACATACACCAGTTGTTCGGCCCCGATTTGGCCAGGCTCAGGTCCGAGATATTGGATGAGCTCGAAGAGATGGTCCTCTCACGGGCAGAAACAACAATGGCATGGTGGCAAGAGCTGCCCCCACATGTGGCACAGGTCTACTATGACAAAGAACACAGACAGATCTCACAGATCCCAGTGTTTCTCGACCTCCTACACCTTGCTGGCATGCCTGACTTGGCCACCCTGGCAACCGACTTACAGCAGGGCTTCAACATGTTGGGTGAAATTCATGATGGTGCAGGATGGCTCCCACGGGCCGATCAACGATATGACTTCCCAATTTCCATGGAAACTTTCAGGGAGCACAACAAGAACTACACCATCAAGAAACTCCAATCAGGCCGTGTTGATGACGCGTGGCAAGTGATGCTCACAGAACTCTTGCAAGAACTTGACAAGGGCCGCATGGACGGACCATTCATTGCTCCGGAGTGGTGGCCGGTACAAGCCATCTCAATACCAGGGCGTGATGCACAACAACTCCCTGATGGCGCGACGTGCTTTTCATTTTGCTTCAGCGTCAAACAATCCGACAAGACCCGACGATGCGAAGATTTCAGAAGGTCTGGCCACAACATGACCATCAAGACCGGAGACACCCCTCATCACCATGACGTGCAGACCTTTGCTGCACTTGCCAGGGCATACCCTGCCCACTCTGAGCTGCCACATGTATGGGCACAAGATCTGAACGGAGCCTACCGCCAATTCCCAGTCAGAGACCCATGCGACTGTCTGTGCGTTTTACAGACACCTGCACTGCAGGACCGCTGATTTTGCGCCATTTTGCCTTGTCCTTCGGCGCAACGGCATCAGTTTGGTCTTTCAATCGCAGCGCCGATGCCATGACGTTTCTGGCACGGAGATTACTGGGGATTGCCATTGGTCATTACGTTGATGACTTCATAGCCATTGAACCGCACAACCTGGCGATCAGCAGCTTCGCCCAGTTCACGCGGCTATCCAGGCTACTAGGACTCCGCATGAAGGAATCCAAAGCCTTAGAACCCAGCCCCAAGCAGAAGGTCTTGGGAGTTCTCATGGAAGTACAAGAGGATGAGATTATCCTCAGACCACACCCAACCAGGTGTGCCAAGGTTATCATTCTCATCAATAATGCCCTGAAGCACAACCGGCTCACCAATGACGAGGCCCAACGCCTTGCCGGAAAGTTGGTATTCCTGACCTCTACGCTTTTCGGCCAATTGGGCCGGGCGGCTTTGGCCCCAATTTACGCTCGAGCGCATGGCCTGTCTGAATGCGACAAAGCATGCCAGCTCAACAATGCGCTCCGGGCGGCTCTGGTGGCGTTACGTACCATGCTCACCGAGATCCAGCCAAAAAGAATCCCTAGAAGAGTGACACAGAAACCAGTCATCATTTACACAGATGCCTACTTCACTCTGAATGGGGAACAGTTTTCAACGGGTTCAGACAGGCTTCCAACACAGTGGAACAAGTCCAGATGCTGTCAGTTTGAGAACGGATGGGGCTACGTAGTCCATCACAATGATCAGACACGATTTGGTGCTGGACGCGTCCCGGCCAAAGTCATACGCAGATTTTGCACCAGAAAAGCCTACATCTACTTCCTTGAGATCCTGGCCCAACTAGTGTGCCTCTTGACACTACGGCCACATCACGATTTGATGCTGATCTCATTCATTGACAATCAACCTGGACGCTACGCTCTGCTCAAGGGATACTGCAAAGATCCCAGAATATGCCAGATAGTCTCCCTGACATGGAGGCTCATCTCACAGATGGGATGGCACCTTCAGCTCGAATGGGTATGCTCAGAACACAACATCAGCGACAAGGTCTCCAGACATGACTTCAGCGAGATGCAAAGCATTGCAGCACACCAAGATGACCTTGAGTTCTCAGAGCTCTTCGCCATCCTCCTGCGTGCCGCAGATGATGACGAGTACGCCAATGGCTCTGCTCTGAACGACCTGCTCCAATTGAAGCTACATGCAGCTACCTCCTCATCACTGGCAGTTTGGGGAATAGCTGGTGCCAGTGCGGTGAAATAGTGCACCAGCTGCAGGCACAGTTGGATTCAACAGTGGGTCGTCAACCAAACCACAGGCAGATGGAAAAATGAGAGGCAGCTTGATGTAGCAGCATGGATTG